CGTATGTAACTTTCTTGAAATCTCGCGACGAAGTATTGGAAAAATTTAAAGTGTTCAAGGCATTCGCTGAGAAGCAGGCCGGAAAAAAGAAAGTGTCTGAGAAGGGACAACGGTCGGGAGTATTTGAGTGCGCCTGGCAAGCAATGGTATTAAAAGACAGCTTACTATACCGCACACACCTCAACAAAATGGTGTAGCTGAGCGCACGAACAGAACATTGGTTGAGATGGCGCGCAGTATGATTCTACATGCTGGTCTGGATGAGAGCTTCTGGGCAGAATCTATTAACACGGTTGCATACCTAATGAACCGTTCGGAAACATCTGCTTTAAATGACATGACACCATTCGAGTCGTGGTCTCACAAAAACCAACAGTGAACCATCTAAGAGAATTCGGGATCAAAGCTATAGTTTTGAGCAAGAAGCATAGCAGGCTGCTCAGAGTCAGCAAAGGCATATCGTTTATACGTTCCGAATACAGGAAAGGTAACAGTAGCACGTGACGTAATTTTTCTTGAAAGATTTTTGCAGAAGACATTGTAAAGCGTAATGAATCGGCGACTATGTGTGAGGTGACGCTGGTCAATCTGGAGTCAGAGTCGACATGTATTACAGAAGACGGAAATATGGGAAACGCTGATGCTGACTGCGATGCGTCTGATGGAGTGTTGTGTGAAGAGGACAATGAAGTTGAGTCAAACATCAAAAGGGGTGGGCGACCAAAGCTGATCCGTATAGGAAATCCAGGGCGTCCAGGAAAGCAGTATAACATTTTGAATGTTATGACAACAGATGATGTGGCAGTACCAGAAACGTTAGTTCTGATCATGCCAGTCAATGGAAGGCATCGATGCAGAAGGAGATGGACAGTCTAAAAGCCAATAAACGTGGTCATGGGTGGATCTTCTGAAGGGCGAAAAGGCGATCGGTTGTAAATGGGTGTTTGCAGTAAAGCGTAACGAGCATGGCAACATCGCTCGTTTTAAGTCTCGTTTAGGGGCCAAAGGCTGTGGCCAGAGATTCGGTGTCAACTACACTGAATCGTTCTCTCCTGTGGCACGGTATTCAACAATACGTCTAGCAATTGCCATAGCGGTTGATAAAGGTATGTATATGCACCAAATAGATGTGACATCTACTTATCTCAACAGTGAACTGCGAGATGTGGTGTACATGAGGCAACCAGAGGGATTTGAAGACCAAGAAAATCCTGGAAGTATGCTCAAGCTTTAGAAATCTTTATATTGCCTAAAGCAAAGTGGTCGTGAATGGAACACAAAGCTGAATGTGGTGCTCCTGAACATTGGGCTCGTTTCATGTGCTAGTGAACCGTATCTGTACACACCCCGTAGTAGCACGGATTTCAGCTTGGTCATTGTCTATGTTGACGACTTGATTGTTGCCAGCACATCTATGAATGCATTCAACAAAGTGAAGGCGTCAATAGCAAACGAATTTGATGTAGTCGATGGCGGTCAGCTGAAGCATTTCCTTGATATGGAAATAGAAAGAGAAGGAGTAACTGGCAACGTTTCTGTTGGTCACAAGCAGTATATTGGGAATCTACATACGAGCATGGTCTGAGTAACTGCAAGCCGAATGTCATTTCGTTTAGGAATTCCAGGTTAAGTGTGACAATGAAGAGGTTCCGCGAGCGAACCAGTTAAGCTATCAATTCCTGATAGGTTCGCTGATGTATCTAGCGATAACAACCCGGCCAAATATTTTACACTCTGTTACCAAGCTTTCATAACATAATGCAAATCCTCACAAGGAACGTGAAGTGGGTGCCAAGCAAGTTTAGCGATATCTTAAGGGCACTGCTGAGCTGAGTCTGCACTACCAACGAACTGGAAAACCCATAGAATGTTATGTTGATGCTGATTGGACTGGAAATTGCATAGATCGAATTCATATAGCGCCTGGACGTTTCTTGCAGCAGGAGCAGTGATTTCTTGGAAATCGAAGAAACAGGGCGTCGTGGCCTTAAGCAGCACTGAAGCGGAGTACACAGCTTTGTCAACGGCTACTAAAGAAGCAGCGTATATCCGATATACGTATAACTCGTGAACGAGATGGGTTTGAGTGATGGTCATGCAACAAAAATATTTAGAGACAATCAAAGTGCACAATATTTAGCAAAAGATTCGAAATACCATGCGTGCAGTAAGCATATAGATATTAAGTAGCACATGTCAGGCAAATGGTCAAGGACAATGTAATTGAAATAAAGTATGTAACAACTGAAAATATGATATCTGATGCCTTGACCAAGAACCTTTGTAAAATTAAGCATAAGAAATGTATTAACATGATCGGTATATATTAAAATGAAAATGGTTGCTTTTAATTGTCTAACGACATATTGCGTTGAGAAGGAGTGTTAGAAATACTCAAGACATTTATGTATATACAACGCAATATTCGTAACTGCAAAAATCCAGTTGCTTGCGAGCAACAAGTTTCTCTTATATATAAGTTTTACATTCCTATTTATCCCTCAGTCTGAAATAAACTGTACAACTAAGATTAACCTTTTTGATCCATATAGGAAACATTTCAGGGACTGTACATCCCAAATTATTGCCAACATTTCTTTTTCAATGGCGGCAAAAGTTTCCTCTGCTCTGCTTAGAGTTCTTGACAGAAAGGATATTGGCCTACTGTCTTGGGAGAGTACGGCTCCTATGAAGCATCCGTGCTAAGCCTGTCTCTTATACACATCTAGATGTGTATAAGAGACAGGTATAACGTCGTCTGATGTCAAGCAATTTTTCAGTAATGACCTTGGTTGATTTTGGCTAATAGGTTTGGTATTGGTCGGAAAGCGACTGAAACTATTTGCATGGTTCGTCCTGTAATTCATGTTTATTAGTTGTATGGCGTCGTTTAATTCATGTACCCTCACCGAGTCGTGCGTCCTTGACTCTAATTTTTTTTATATCTCTGAGCGATCGTTATCGTCAAGTGTTCCAAAAAGGTATCTCAAGGATGAGCCCACAATGTTAAAAAGTCTCCCTGCTCTTCTGGTGTAAGGGTATCCCATTCAACTCTCTTCTTAGTTTATTGTATAAAAAATTGATTTGTGGGGCATGGTAACCGCCACGTAGCTTCTCTTCAAAGTAATTTGTTACCTGGTTAATTTTTGTCAAGTTGATGGTTAAGCAATGGTGTTCAAAGAATGATGATATCTGGATTGGTTTGTCCGAAAAAAGGAGATATCCGTAGGCTGTGATAATGTCATTTATTTGGATTTGTTGTGTGCGGCCTGTGCGAGTCAAAATGAGCAACAATGCTACTGTACACCAAGTACCTGTGGAGTTGAGATCTGATTAATTTTCTTACGTTTTTAAATTGTTTTTTGTAATAATGGGTAACTGTGTTTCTATTAGTGATCTTTTAATGATCAGCGTCTGTTTGTTCTACATTTTTGGTTGGTTTAAATGGATTTTCTAATTTGCCTTTCTATAGGKGGCCCTTTCTGTATCATATTCTTGTCTGTCAATGTTAATTTTGTTTATCTTATTTTCTTTGTTTTTCTGAGTGTCAAGTATTGGGTGTCCAGCGTAAAGAAATGTGTGTGCCGGGGTTCGTCCAGTGCTGTCATGTTTGGTTTTGTGATTGTATGTGTAAAGAATTGCTTCTATCTTGCTCAACTTGGCTTCGTCATTGTCAGATGTATTAATTATGCGGATATTTTCATTAATTGTTTTGTGTAGTCTTTCTATGTCTGCTATCCCTGTCTTTGTCGTATTGAACTGTAAATCAACCTCCTCACTCTCAAGCCATCGCTTAAGTCCCAGGCTGCAGAATGCGCCGTCTCTGTCTGCCTTCAATAGCCTAGCCTTGTGCACAGTTGGTTAAATATGCGCATAAGTGCATTTTTACATTCCATCCAATTTTTCGTCCATATCTGTTCCAATGTAGCGAACTTCGAATAAATGTCCATGCAGCTCAAATAATGTTTGCCTTCGGATGAATAAATATCGATCATGTGTTTATCGCGGCAATGTTCTAGGGGCTTACTCTGTAAAGCGATGCGAAAGACAATGCGACTCGAAAGAGCAATGCGATGCGATAGACAATTGATACTCTGTATTGCTTAGGCATCACTAATAACGTTGTTCACCTTTGCTTTTTTTTTTCTTTTTATGTAATAGTTGGCATTACTTCCGAAATGTCAAAGTATAAACGAGCAAAATAAAGAAAATAATCATAAATTGTTCGTTAAAATTATGTTGAATAATTTAAAAATGAATTCTGTGCATTGTGGGATCATTATTATTCTCAGGAAAGAATTGATAGAAAAATTATTCGAGATAATTCGGACACTATGTTTTTGAATTATAATCCAACTGTTTGATTTGTAAGATCACACTTTTAAATTTAAATAAGATGCTTTATATCCTTACCACTGGTGAGGGGAAAATAAAGATTTAATTTAAGCTGAGAACTATTTCATTCTACGAGAATTGTTTCCTTCTACAAGAACTATTTTAGTCTGATTTTATTTAAAATTTTCACGTATTTATATACAATTTTAAGAACTATCTTAACTATCTTAATATATGTGTATGTGTGCATGTTCATATGGTTGTAGCACATTGTTTATGCTACTTGGTATGGGGTTGTTTTTAAGTGCTCATGCACATTTGTATTCAATTGCCTAAATGCACATCTTAGGTCAATATGTTATCTTAAGTAAATATGTTTGTTTGTTAATTGTTGAGTGCATACGTATTCCATATGTTATCTTAAGTAAATATGTTTGTTTGTTAATTGTTGAGTGCATACGTGTTCCATATATGTCAGTGCATACGTGCCTGATATAAATGTTTGTATGCGTTTGTTTATGTATTTGTTTTGTACTGCCTCAGCATTGGCGAAGATAAGCCTGTTCAATATATTTGAACATATTGCCGAGGGAAAAAGTAATTATTCAATATTAGTGGACTGTATGTGTTTTTAAAATAGTGAGAACAAACAGTTTCATATCTTATCTAATATGTTGAATATTCTTAAGTATAATAAAACTAAATATTATATTGATGCGTACAGAATGACCTTGGTATCAACGAATATGTTCATTATTGAACATTATGTCTCTAAGCGATAAAAGGTTAGTAAAAAGTTGCGGTTTTAAAATGGACTTAACATCTACACATTTTTTGTTTTTAGCTTCATGCAAAATTTCCGCCTCAATAAGCACGCATTTTTATATGATTTGGACAACATAAGACCCCAATTAAAAGTCGCTCAAAGGACCACATCAATTCCAGAAATTGTAAAACTGTCAACAACCTTGAAGTTTCTCGCACAGGGCGGATATCAAAACTCGGTCGGCCAAGATAGGCATTCAGGGCTAGCCCAACAATTGGTTTCCCGATGCATCTTGGAAGTGTGCGATGCCATCGCGAAAACTTTGTGCCCAAAGCATATCGTGTTTCCCTTGACCATTGAGGAAAAAATTGAAGCAAATAGAACCTTTTGCTTGACGTCCGGAATTCCAGCCGTAATTGGAGTGATTGATGGGACGCACATACCGTTGATACGACCATCACGGAATGAACACTTATTTTTTAATCGTAAACTAAAACACAGAATAAATGCAATGGTGGTAAGAACATTCATAARTACAATAATATACACGTACATATATTGATTCCAGTGCAATGACTTAAAACTTTTTAGATATGTAATCACGAAATGCAAATAAGGGCAGTAAATGGTAAATTTGGAGGTGCGTCGCATGACTCCCACGTATGGAACCTCTCAGGAGAACGTGGAAGTTGGAGGACGAACTACGAAAATRGAAATAGAAGCGAACGAATTCTTGGTGAGTATAATATTAACTGTAATAATAACTTATGGCGGCTAAATCGCGATAAGATAAAATTGTTATATTATAACATTATATTCATGTTTTAAAAGAAATTATCAACATCTCGCAGCAACACTTATGTATATGATTTTGTTATTACTATTATAGAAGACTCCGGATATCCTCTTGAAACTTGGCTGCTAACACCGTATAGGAATGCTCCAGAACGTTCTGATGAACTATTTTCACCAACAGTTTACAAAAGGCCGATCACTAATTGAACSCGTGTTTGGTGTATTGAAAGGGAGATTTCGATGCTTGTTATCTGCAAGAGAGCTACATTACGTGCCTGAAAAAGTCGTTAAAATTTTGATCAACTTAATTAAAATGAACTATTTGCAAATTAATAAATCCAGTATTTTATTTCATTGTAATACGGAAAATTAAATTTAAATAATTATAGATTAAATTTGTAGTTTTAAATTCTACTTCTCGCAGTTATTTAACTTACATTTTCCAGTTTTTCAATTTTTGTTCATAAATTTTTTGTTTATATAGAAATTTTTCCTTTTCAAAGCTTAGTCTCCCTTTTTCTAACTAATTTCTTTTTTCAATTTTTTAAAAATGTTTTTATACTCTCGCAACAAAGTTGCTAAGGAGAGTATTATAGTTTTGTTCACATAACTGTTGTTTGTAAGTCCTAAAACTAAAAGAGTCATATATAGTGTTATATATACCAAAGAGATCAGTGTGACGAGTAGAGTTGAAATCCGGAT